CTTAAAGAAAAAGGATCATCCTGAAGGCTAAAGAAATGCCAAAATAAATACAGTCCCTCCCTCTATGTTACAAATAGAAGGCCTGGTACAGGAAAGAGGGGAGACCGGGCATAGCTAAACTGAATTCAAGCTCCCCAGCTCCTCCTTTCTCTGTTCTCTTTTCTTCCTAAGCATGGGACTCTGGTCAATGCTCCGTTAGTTAGTCCTTTATGTGCGTTATTTTTATAGCGAGTGTATGGACTTCCTTTGAAGTTCTAGGTAGCCCAAACTCACTAGTTAGATCTGAAGATTTAAGCCCCTTTATCTGCAAGAGCTCAGCTCAGTTTGAAGCTAAAATATAGTTTTTAATCCTGCGTTCTCCTTGCTCAGGCTGAGCTCTGGATTTCCGGTTGAATTTTCACTGCATGCCTTGGAAGCAACGTAAAGCTTCTTATGTAAATGGTTCAGATGTTTATATTGAGATTATCTTTGTCTATATTGGTTGAATCAAACTCTTCTTGAAACTTATGTTAAGCTGCAAGCTGGCTATGCATGCATGATTAAAAAATAGAATCAGTACAAATCCATGGATATCATTAGTGATTATGTCAGAACTCAGAAATAGACCTGACCTCATCTACCTTCTTCTATGCTCACTCTCCTTTATTTCATCTGAGCAGTACTGCTGGAATGGAGGCCAGCGGAACCAGCAACATGAAGTTTGCAATGAATGGTTGCATATTAATAGGGACTTTGGATGGTGCCAATGTTGAAATACGTGAAGAGGTTGGAGAAGAGAACTTCTTCCTCTTTGGTGCTAAAGCTAACGAGATTGCAGGGCTCAGGAAAGAAAGAGCTGAGGGAAAGGTATGCCAACATAGATGTGGTTTCCTTCTCTGGCAATTTCAATAATTCTTATAGAATATTTATGCTGCATTACACCATCATAACGAAGTCCATTTTAGCAGAAGTTAGAGTTAGTGTTAAAGTATATACGGGGATGATGAACATTGCATTTTGGATTGTTTGACATGTCCTAATTATTGGCACTCAAAAATTTCTCTCTAACCTACCTGGTCTTCCATGTAGTTTGTTCCGGATCCTTGTTTTGAAGAAGTAAAGGAATTTGTCAGAAGTGGTGTATTTGGCCCATATGACTATAATGAACTGATCGGCTCATTGGAAGGAAATGAAGGTTTTGGGCGTGCAGATTATTTCCTCGTTGGCAAGGATTTCCCAAGTTATATAGAATGCCAAGAGAAGGTTGATGAGGCATATCGGGATCAAGAGGTAAGTGATATGCATGCATTTTATGTCTATGCCCTCTGCATGATTACACGTTTGCTCACAGACACGCACACGTATGTATGTGTGTGTATATGTCTATCATTTCTGATTTTATATTGGCAGTTCTCCGACTCTTTCTATGTTTCTTAAATAACTGTTTTTTGGCAGAAATGGACAAGAATGTCAATCTTGAATACAGCGGGTTCACCGAAGTTCAGCAGTGACAGAACCATTCATGAATATGCTAGGGACATATGGAAAATTAAACCTGTTGAATTGCCATGATAGTGGAGATCTCCCACCGAGGCCTTTTGTGCTGCAGCCACCATGTTTTCCATCATATGTTTAATAAAATAATAAAAAAAAAAAATACAATTTCAAATGGGATAAATGTAGTATCAATAATCCGTTTTAAGAAAATTGTAAAATCAATAACATTTTATGTAATAATATGAAAATGAAAAATAAGGGGTTTTTACTTTTACCCAAAAACTAAAATAAAATATAAAGTCATTTTCATTGATTTATGCCATTGCTTGCTATTATTATGATTATTGTCGTTGTTTGCTTTTAAATTAATTTCCGATCTCTAGCACAAGTACAGTCATAAAGACACTCTTAAGACTTTGCCGCCAATGTTAATAAGTGTTTTCAGTTTTCAATCATATTAAGCAAAAAGTTTGCCTTTTAGAAAATATTTGTGGAACATGAATGGATTGGTAAATAATTCTGTTCATATTTTTGTTTCATGAATTCATGGTGGATTTATAAGAATGAAATATAGAAATATGGCATTCTCATAATTTGTTAACTAAAGATGATAATATGGGTGGTAATTTTACTTTTACAAATTTATGATAAAATATTATTTTACAATGGTTAATATATGATATATAATTAGGATCTTGGTTACATGGCAAATTTTTTAATATATATTTTTTATTATTAATTAATTTTTTAAATAAAATTTTACATATTTTATTAATTAATTAACATACACATTAAAAATAACACAATGTACAATAACATACCTGAACACAGATTGCAGAGTCAATGACTCAAACTCACCTTGACACCCTACACTTTCATAGAAACCCTAAAAAAAAAAATACTTAGCATCCAGCAACAACAAAAAAAAAAAGTTGATGAAAATTGATTAATCCTGGTAACTCCGATTGAAGATGGTATACTAATTTCTTATATGTTCCTTCAACTAATGAACTTGATCAAATTCAGGAATTCAGTCAACATCAGCAACAACATTGCTTCATATTCTCTACCTATGTATTGATTTTTCTTTGTAAGAAAACCTCAAAACAGAAAAGAAAAAAAGATAAAAGCACCAAACTGTCCTATTGCAGCATCAAAATTTACAAACCAATGCTCCACTTGAAAATACTAAGCTGTAACCAAGTATTAGTTGTCTGAATCTCGGAAACTACAGAAAATGCAGATCTTGCATCAGAATTTCTCAGTTCCCCATGTTTGACTTCATTTCAAAGTTCAAACCCACATTGGTTTGAAGCCAAAACATCACCATTTCCCTCCTCATCAACCATGGCTGGAAGATTAAGATCAAGCACGCTGTGGACACCGGAAAAATCTTGCTGCATCGCGACTTGTTCCCCTCTAGCTTTCGAGTTTTTGGAATGGTGAGCTCTCTTGTGACCTCCCAAAGCTTGGCCTGATGTGAAGAGCTTGAAACAGACAGGGCATTTGTGCTCTTTACCTTCCCTTAATCTCACAGTTCCTCCATTGATTTCCTGCCCAATTGAATTCTCAATGGCTTCAAACTTTCCACTAATCTCAATTTCAGGAAGAACTTCCAGCTGCAGATTTTTTTCATTATCAATCTTTAAAGAAATGCAGGCCTTGTTTGGTCTGTGAAGTGTTTGGTGGCCTCCAAGTGCTTGGTAAGAGTGGAACACCTTATTGCAGACCCTGCACTGAAATTCGGCTTTCTTCCGGGAATCATCCAGTATACCGGATTCTGAACTTGATAAAGTCTTTCCGAAAGAATTTATTCCCAATTCAGTATCATAGTAATCAAATCCAGCATCCTTCCAGGAGCTGGACTTCACTGAATCCTTCAATTTCATTTCACTGAGAACTTTTTTCTCTATTTCAGTATCATACGTGACAAATCCTGATTCATCATCATTCAAATTAGGCATCTCGAGTTCTCTGCAAATCTCCATGGGAACTTCCAGTTCAGGCTTCTTCTCCTCAATTCCAACACCAAATTCAATCCATTCCTTAGTCTTTTTATCCCCGTTACCATTAAAAGAATCTGGAACACTAGAACCCAACTTCTCTTTCAGTCTCCTCTTCCTGAAAATCTGATCATCAGCACAAGCAAAACTACTTTCATTCTTCTGGATTCCTTTATTTTGATAGATTGATTTAGCCTCAGAAGTCAGAGAAACATTACCAGGAGAATCCCCGATCAAATTATTTTGCGTAAAAACAAAATTGAATCTACCCCAATTGCCAACACCCTTAGATAACATCATCAAACAATTAGCAACATCTTCTACTTCTTCCTCAATCTCAGTCACAGAAGAAGATTCATTGAAGCTAGAAAATGAAGAAGTAGGAGTACTCTTGTACCTCATTCTCTTCGATCTCTTTCTCTGAGCCAGATTCGCGGTATCATTGTATGTTAAGCTCTCTACAATCAGACTGTTGCTGGAACTAGTTCTTGATTCATTGGGAACCCCAAGGTGCAATGTCACATGACTGGTGAGAGCCCTCAAAGACTGAAGCTCTTGGCCGCACTCTTTGCAATGAAACCCTTTCTTGTCTTTTCCTGAGTGATGCCTCATGTGACCAAACAGAGCTCTCATTGACCCAAATTCTTTGCCACAAACTTTGCACGTATTCTCGTGGATTGTACTAGAAGAAGCAGAGCCAGAGTTATGATTGGCGCTTGAAAATTTCCAAGATTTCTGAGACTTTTTTCTCAGCGCATAACCCACATTGCGTTTATTGTGAATTTCTTCGTCTTTGATTGAATTTGCAGCCAAATGACCCCTTACGTGACCCCCCAAAGCTTTCCCAGTGGGAAAACTCTTGTTGCAGAACCTGCAGGGATAATTCTTCTCCTCTTGATCTTTCTGCATCGCCACAAACAACCAAACCTAAAACGAACAAACAAAGGTCACAAACGAAGCAAAACTCAACTTTCTTGAGGAAAAAAAGAACCAACTTCTTGAGGGAAAACAAGAAAGAAAGAAGAAGAACAATGAAGACCCAAATCAGAAAGAAGTTGTGCCTGATCTCAGATCACGCAAATCCTTGGTTTTTCAAATGATTGAAGAAAAACCAGCATTGGTTTTTACAGGCTCGATCAAGAAGAAGATTGAATCATAACCAAACACCCTAACCCACGCAAGAAAGACTCTACTCTGATTGGCTACTACTCCTAAAATGAGAGAAAAAGATGCAAGTGATGGTGATTGGTGGTAGAACTGCTGCTTTTCGGAAGTAGGGCATAGCTAGCTCGAAGAGCCAAACAGAAACAAAAATGAAAATAAAAGGAAAAAAGATAAAGAGAGGATCTCTTTCTCCTTCTATATCGCCCTCTGTTTTGCTCTGCTTCTCTCTCTCTCTCTCTCTCTCTCTCTCTCCCTCTGTCTCTCTCTACACCAGGTAGATACTCTATATTTGGCAGGAGAAATCCTTGCATGGAAGCAACGCTATTATTAATACCAGTTGTCACGCGTTCTCACTCGCTCGTGTACATAAGACTTCCGTACTCGCCACCATTAATCAAGATCCATCTTATGTCCGCTTATCTAGCCATTTGCCAAATAATCATGAACGTAGCCATTTACATAACATGAAAACAGATTGGAGATTAATTAATTAGTTGGATTATTAAGTCTTGATTCTTTGAACATGGTAACACTGGAAGAAGAAGAAAAGATTAAAAAGAGCAAAAGAAGAATCAAAGTGAGTTGAAGTTGAGAGTATCTAATCCATTCAGCTTCACAAGCAAGTGCAAAAGTTCTTCTCTACCAAAAAATTTATTTATTTTATTTAAAAAAAAAAAAAAGAAAAGTGGAGGAAAAGAAGCACGTGCACTCATATGAAAGACAATTGGGACCCATCAAATTTGATCAGACGACTAGAATTAATTAATCTATGATTGAGGAAATGGGTATGAGCAACACAGTGGATTGAACTGTGTTTTTTGTCTTGCTAAGCAGCAGCAGTGCAAGGACTGACAAAAACACAGAAAGCCTTTCACTAGAAGTTTCTGATACTGGAAAGAGAAGCAATCAAGTGCTAACAGAAGCATGGTTGATTGACAAGTGAAGATGGAGTTTGATTAATCATGGGAATTTCAAATCAATTTGATTTGATTTGATTTGACTTTTCACCAACTCCTACAACTTAATTCTGGGTATTTTAAAAAATCAAATGTTAAAAACTCAAAATGTACACAAACAAAAAAAAAAAAAAAAAAAAGAGAGAGAGGAACAGAGAAATTATGTAGGCATATTTAATCAAGTTCTTGCTCAGTTTTTTTTTTAATTGTAAATATGGATGAAGTATTTTAAGTTCTAACCCCAATTGATTAGTTAATTATCAAACCCAACAATTATTTCCACATGGGTGTGTTTATGGGGCACTTGATTCATGAACAAGTTATGGAAAGATCAAATGGGTTTTTTTATTTGGAGAGTTCACATTTCTTTAATTAGTACAAAGTAATCAAAGACTTGTTAAATTGGTTGATTTTTTTTTACCAAAATATTTGAGAAGTTATTTAATATTATTGTTATTAAAAAAATTAAATTGATTAGTAAAATTATAACTATATACACTAGAATATGTATATTTCTTTATTTAGTTGCATGTGTAATGAGATTTAAATTGATTAGAGAAAGTAAAACTTTTGTTCAATGGTATAATTTAAATATTAAGATTTTATGTAATTCAAAGACAACGTACATTTTATTAGAAAATTAATAAAAAATAATACGATATAAAATTTTATGTCGTATCTAATTTTTTTGTCAAATTGTATATAAAACTAATTTTTATTATTTTATAAAAATTTGTTATTTTATAGTTAAACTAAGTGTAAATTTACAAATATATCTTAAAAATTCTTTAAATTTATATCAATTTAAGAGTATGAGATTCTTTCTTATTTTAATGGGGAGGGATAATGGATTGTTGCTTCACGTTTGGTATAGATATATTCAGCCAACAGGCTGGCCATGACATGATAAAACAGATCCAAGAAACAGGAAACCCTAATTATCCTCAATCCACAATCACCTTCCTAATCTGGCTTCAAAAGTAACAAATTAAAAATTACATAATTAAGATAAAATTGGGCTTCCATTGTGACCTCTGCTTCGTTCTTCATGAGGTCAAACAATTGTAAGTATGGCTTATTAAATTATCCAATACCTAATCAATGAAATCTAATTACTGGAAATTAATTTCAGATTACATGGAGATTATTCTAATCATTCTGAGGTGAAAAATCATGGGTTAAAAGCAAATCATTAGATACGCAATGGATTAAATTTACAGCCTGATAAATGTAATGGGTCTATCTTAATATTTACAACAAAGATTTTTTAAAAAATAAGATTAAAATGTGACATTCACATTTTTTTAGATTTACTAATTCATGTATTCTTAGAATATTTAATAAATATTTAAAAATTTTAAATTATTCGCTCTTTATTTATAAGTTTAGATAATTTAAAGATCTAACGTAAGAACAGATATGAAAGTTATATTAATAATCCTAATTCATTAAAATTATATATGTACAACAAAAAATATGTTTTTTATATCGCATAGAATTATTTGATCTTATATAAAAAAAAATTAAGTGAGTATATTTATATGTTTTATTATATAAGCGACACTTACACAATTAGCCTATATCTTAAACTCCCACTTTGGGAAAGTATTCAAAATCATGTAAATTATATACTAAATGTACCTAGTAATCTTAGCATTTGCACTTATCAATCAGCATGAAATAATTAATTTCAGTTAAATGACATCAATCTTTGTATTCTATACTATAAGATATATATATATATACATACGTATAACCAATAAGTAGGATTCATCGTGTGATGAAGACTGCAATGGGAAAAAGAAATGAAACAAATTGTTGAATACATGAACAGCAAGATCTGTTCATGTATTCTTTTCTTTTTTGCTTCTTTGAGTAGAAGAGAATAATAAGATGCATGTTTTAGCAAGCAACTTCTCTTTCTCTTTATGTAATGCTTAGTTGCTACTACTCCATAAATTAGATATCTCCACCATGTGCCTTTGTGCCCCCCACCATATATCTTTTTCCCCTTTTCAACAACACTCTCATCTTAATTTTATTTACATGTTATACATAAACATATATATTATATTATATTATATTATATTATATATAGTGTTTCATAATTTAGTTAAAATATGACTCAACTTCCCACCCTAACCACACCAATTGGTCAATACTCATTGGTGTAAACTCAGCAATCTCTATATTAAGGAGCTAACTGTTATCACATTGTGATTAATGACTTATATATATATATTTAGGAATATATGACTCACTAGTGCTCCAAAATAATTATTAGTTTTAAGAACTACAGATATTGACTTATGTTAAGTTTACAAAGGCTACCTGAATATGATGGTGTATATATAGCCTTCCTCTTTTCTTTTTTCCTCTAATATCTGTAAACTAACAATATCAGCATATTCTCATGCCTCAGAGACATTAATGGCTTTCCATATACTCTTTACAAACAAATGTATCACAAGAGCCATATGAAATTTGTTGAATTATCCGTACATGAAAGCTAATGCTCAAACACAATGGCACTCAATGAGAGAGTTCAATAATTTAATATTACATGGGTAGCAAAGCCATCTTTGCCAAAACTAATACATTACTAACACAAGAAATATAATCTCAGAACAGATGAAAAGAGAGAAAGAAAAAAGGAATAAAGAAATTTTCACTTGGATTTTCCTATAAATAATTATCGAAAACCCGAGATTTGAAGAACTCACTCCCCTAGCAACCCCATTGCTTTTGATTGTATACACACCAGACTATCAGAGAAAAGTATACTGTACCCCCGAAAAAAACCACTGCTTGCGAAAAGGGGGGAATAGAGAAATGCCTCTTGCTGGTGACGACACTGCAGACACCAGATTTTAAGGACATTCTGCGAAACTGACCACCTTCTGTAATAATACATTCAGTACTTACTTTCTATAGAAAATGAAGTTTTCCATGGAAAGTCATTTATATAGTATAACAATCTATTTCACCATGCCAAGCCAATCTTCTTAACAGTATTATTTGCAGTCATTCATAATTCACTTGGCTCTCTGGTATCGGTACACATACATGGCGGACCACAGCGAACAACCTTTTCCTCCTGAAACTCATATGATGTGCATGAGTCATCCTGAAAATCATTGTCGTCACTGCCACTGCCTTGAATCTTATCCAAAACTTTGTACTTAATATCATGAGAGCTATCAACCATTATGCTTTTTACAGGTGCCCCTGAGATATCATCTACATCTCCCTCATCTTCTTCATAAGTTCTAAACCTACAAATGCCAGTCTCGACGTCACCTTGATGAACATCAACCTCACCCTCATTCTCAATGTCTTCAAGGCAATCTTCCGTTTGGTCCTTTCTATAACAAGCAGGTCCATCTTGGCTTGTTAGAGAATCCACCACAGAATCCTCTTCATCCTCCGCTACTCTATCTTCAGTTACCTGCCACTCATCATTGTCACTATCAATGTTTAGTGGGTCAAATCGGTTCTGTTCCGCACGTTTCCGAAGCATATAGACATTAAAGTAATAGCTGACAAAATCCCTCTTTGTTCGATCTGGAAAACTTCTGAGAGGTTATCCCAGAAATTCTTACCCAATGTCACAGGGTTGGAGAGCACAACTTTGTGGAATTTTAGCTCTTCTTCTTCAGTCCATTTCTTTGCAACCTCCTTTCCCATGTCACCAAAACCCAACTCTCAAAAGTCTCCTGCCCAAGCTCTATCCTTAGATTTTCTCTTGCTTCCATGACATGTTGTTGGACACATCTGATAGAACCTTGGTCAAGGCACTTACAGTTTGTCCTATTTTCCTCCTTTTCAAGGTTTGCAGATACTTCAGATATTGGAATGACACAAATACCCATCAGCTCTGTCTCATTTCTGTTTTCAGCCATGAAACCTGATTTCAATGATTGCGCAACTTGACAATCTAACTCCTTTAGATCTGCAGAGCTATTTACACCCAGTGGATCCCAGTCAGGAATATCAGCTTGATGCTCTGGTCCAACCAGAACTAGCCTTGGAGAAGGAGAATCAAGGAGAGACGAATACATCTCATCTGAATGCAAGAAGGCCCTTAGCTGGTTGGCAGGTGCAAAATATTCTGGAAAGAGTGACAGATGAACTGCAGCATCTGACACAGAATCCTCATGACTAACATTGCTGTCTACCCACCAAAAGTGGGAAATGCGGCCAGAAGTGCCTGTTTCAAGTTCCTTGTCCAGTCCATTAAATAACTTATTGACGGAATCATCTACAATCCTTCCTCCAACTCGACTTTTACCAAAATTTTCATCACCTTCGCCATTTTATATTGCCATTAAGTGAAGCTATAAAAACTTACTAGAGATTTAAAGTGTTCAAAGCAGATTAAAATCATGAAACCGTACACATCTTAAATAAATAATGAAATAGATGCAATGCAGCAACAGAGACAATACCACCAAGTTTTAACAATCTTAGTCACCTTAAACACTAAATATCACGGCTACATACATAAAATACTATTACAAGTGCATATTCCAACAATAGAGGATTTACTGACCATGTATGCAGTAACATGCATAAAGCAAATTTACTTTCTTGATTACTAGAGCATTAAACCACAACCACATTCAATACTGAGCTATATAATGAACAAATCTAACTGTCGATAGAATAGTTTTTAAATACTATTAGCTATTTATCATAGCAGGGCTATACAATGCTTTAATGCATTTAATGTACTGACACTTGGAAGCCCATAATGAAAATTATGTAACTGATTGCAACTTGTAAGAGTTCTCACGAAACTAACTGATGTTCATTATTCAGAACAGAAGGTTTTCTGAAGAAAAATATAGCAAGAATTCTGCAAAACCCACTTAGTTCTTTAGTTACTACAAAATCAATCATAATCTATTTATTACCTGAAGTACTAAGCTTCTCGTGAAGATCATTCAGAGGAGCAACTTCTGAAAAAGAAAGGTGATTTGTATTTTCCCAATGTCTTGGGTGCTTAAAAGCAACTTCATCAGTGCCCTCATCAATGAAAGGTCGTTTGTGAATCATGTTATCCTGTAGGTAAGTCATATTAAAGCATCTGGAATGCAAAACTTGACAAAAGATCTCAAAAGCAAAGGGCAGCCAATAAGATTTTACTAAAGGCAGAGAGGAGAAGAAAGTACCAAAAACAAAAAAAAAGCCAATTTTAGGTTGGCTGAAAATGCCAAAACTAAATATAAATAATAAAGTCTCGAAAAAGCTAGGAAATACCCGCATTTACTTCACTACTTACACTATCAAGCAGTTTAAAAATTACCAAGTGGAATCGCGAATAAGATACTTTAATCTAGCTAAAAATTAACATATTTGAACCAAAAATTATTTGTACAAACATTAACAAATGATCTTTTCTGTTTCTTTTTCTTTAGTTGCTTTTTTTTACTTGCATGCAATTGCAATAGACACATTTTTCATGTTTTTTTCTTTCATTGAAGCTGTTAGAATATTATACTAAATAACAAGTCAGACAATCAACAAAGCCAAATGGAGGAGTTTGAGCCCTGACTGTGTCGTTTATACTTAAAAACAAAAATTCTGCATAGGACATAGTAGAGAATTTACACTTGATGGGGTAGTAGGTAAGAGGGAGTAATGAGACAACAAATGAGGCGTCTTAATGGGTTTGTACATGTGGGATTGTATGGAAGAACATAAATGACTAGGTTGGGCCCTTTCAAGATAATTGATCACAGAATTAAAATCGTTAGGCACCATATAACACACAAAAAACAAATATTTATATCGTCCAACTACGAATAATATGACTACGCATAAACAAACTAACTCCTGCAGCTCACCCACTTAAAATACATCCATATTTCATTTTCTTAGCATATTTAATCACATCTATTCCTATTAAAGCATATCAACCGAGCACAAAACAGATTTTCTTTCCTCTTGCTTCTGAGACCAACAACGAATGAACCAACTGATGCCCAGTAAACTTCCTGTTGACAAGAGTTTTGGAAATTTGAAGTCCTACCTTCTGATAATAATAATAACAATAATACTCGTGAAAAATTATAAATATAACTAATCATAAAGGAATGACTCATCTCCACAGCTGAGCTAGAAAAGCTGTTCCTTACCTAATAATCTCCAACCAAATTGACGGCGGCTTACTGAAGGAGAAAATAAGTTAAAATGAAACGAACGCCCAATTAGGAAACCCTAATTATTACAAAAAAAAAAAACAAGTCCTGGATCCGAAATTAATGTAAAGCTTTAGATGCTGATTTCTAACAGTAAAAGAGGTAGAAAATACAGCAGGGTCTCCCAAAACAATCCACAAAAAATAGTAAAAACAGAGTAATCTTGTCACCGAGGCAAAAGAAAATTCCAAAATTTAAAAAGAATACCGAAAAATTGAACCGACCCAGATAACCCTGGATCAAGCAAACTAGTTTACAAGCTTCGATTTATGGATCTAGGAAAAAAAAAAATATAGCTAAATCGGAAGAACTTAAAAGATTTCGAAAACCCTAACCCTAGGATACGATACAAGGGACGGCTAATGATAAAATCGGGATCAAAGAAAAGAAGATAGATAGAATTGAAAGAATAAAGAATGGAATTGAAAATGTAAAGCAGATAAGGGGAGGTATTTTGGTAGGAACGAGAGATATCCCGATCGATAATAAGGATCAAAAATGGGTAAAAGTCGGGATTTGTTTTATAGAAGAGATGTTAGGTGATTGGACGACAGGCAATTTGGGGGGTTTCCTAGTTCTACAGAAATTTAAAATTACCGAAAATGGCAAGAATCTGATGGGAATTACTGGAATGCCACTGACTGATTCCAGGATCTTATAAATGATTTCTAATTTGATAACTGTGACGTAAGAAGTAAGGAATTAAAAGTCAGCAATAAGTTTGCGCCACGTGGTGAGATGCGGTGAGGTGTGTGAGCTACTTGCTGGCACACGTGCAAAATGTGCTCAAACTTTTATTACAAAATTTACTACTACTACTCTCTCCCTTAACATTTACAAAAATATTTTTACCTTAATGATTAGAGTAAATATACCTTCTTATACATTGGAAAATTACTCAGACCAAATATATTTATTTATAAGTTCTTAAAATTCTTAATAAATGTGGTTAGAATATTATAAAAAAAAATTAGTCTTAAAATATAGCAAGTAAAGTAAAGCTATTTTAATTTGAATAAATGCAATAAAATTTTTTTAATTTTATTGAAATCGATTCACCAAGAGAGGAGGGTAACGGATTGGCTATTTAAGATTTAAAATTTGAACATTTGATCCTGTTCTATCATCACTCAAAATATTTTCTTAGTTTGTGTAATAAAAAATAACTTACGAAATATTCTATTAAATAAGAAATAACTAAAGCCAACTTTAAGTGGTAATGACAATTAAAAAAATAATTAGGCTTGCATTTATAATTTATATAAAAAAATGTGTGCCTTAGTATTTAAAAGTTTCTTAACATTTGACATACCTCTAAACCAATCACGAGAATTAAATGTAATGATTATATCCTAACATATAGATGAAAGAGATTATAGTGGGTAAAACCCATCTACACATTTAATGCATTTAAATATTCCATATTGCTAGAGTTCCATTATTTTAGTGATTGATTCATTGTGAGTCTTTAAATACTAGTTGGCTCGTAAATAATTTGATTCATAATTTAAATCTCTTCAAATTAGTTTTAGTTTATTTTGCCAACTAGTTCTATCAAGTGGCCTAAAAATATAAAAAAATCCTCTTATATATAACCCACTAAGCTTGTTTAAAAGAATTTGTAAAGCCCATATGATGTCTTACCTAGTAAAAAAAGATCAAGGAACATCCTATGAACAACTTAATTCTATTTACAATAATATTTTTAATAAAAAATTACTAGTTAAAATTCTGATATATAATCAAAAATCCTAAAATCCATCAGTATCTGATATTTAAACTTCTGTTAACAATAATAATTTTTAATATTTTAGTAAGGCTTCAAAGCGTGCCCAATGCCTTAGAGGACTATATTACATATTCTTTTATGAATAATAAATATAATAAATCTAAAATATATAGAAATAGTTAGGATAAAATAATAATTTAGTCCCTATACTATTTATTTATGTTCAAATTAGTCATTTTTTAATTTTTTGATTAAATTAATTACTGTACTTTTTTAAAAAATTTTAATTTAATATGTTCTCTTAACAAAGCTTATCATTGTTAATATATGATATCATATATTAACAAAAGTAGTACAAAATATTTTCGTATTAATTCGAGTATTAGTTGAATACTACATCAACTGTCACATAATAACTAACGTGATATTTTTTTAATTCAAATTAGTTTAAACTGGTCTAAATGGAAAAAAATCTATAATTTCCAACCCAAAGACCTTCTTCTTCTTCTTTCTCCCATACTCCACCCCATCAAACTAAACCAGAATGCTTACATGAACTATTTTACATCCTTCCATATCCCCTTTGCAATCTTCCCTTCTCTCTTACCCCATTACATCAAAATATAATAATAAGTAAACTCCTTTAATCATCACAACTACAAGTTATAGGAACTTTAGATGTTTCTGAACACTCTCTATACCTCTTGTGGTCGAAACAACTCAAAATCCTGACTCCCTGGATGACCAACTTTTCTATACCTCTGAATCAATCACTAGTCACCTCATTCTACTTCATCATGCTACGAATTTTTAGGGAGATTCTTTGTTTAGATGTTGGGTTTTTTTGGATTTTATTTACTTATTTGATTCTCAATTCGAATTTTTAAATTATCATTTCATCTTTGTTAGGTAGATCATGATTGACCTTTGAGTTGAGTTGGATGAGCATATGTTTTTAAAGTCTCTCCAAAGCTCCAATATATAGGTTGTGTTCCTCAGCTCATTTTGTCCAACTCACTCATCTCAACAAGTAGGGGGAAACATGTGATGAGGAACAAGAAGAAGACATCTTTAGAGATGTTTTTTTAGTTAGATTGATCCAAACTAGTTCAAATTAAAAGAAATATCAACATTCGACTACCAGTTAAACTAATAAGAAGGTGTCACGTATTAATTTCTATCGTAACACCCTAAATTAACGGTATAAATTTTTATTAAATGAAAAAAAATTAAATCAAAAATTTTTAAAAGCATATGAATTAATTTAACCAAAAAATAAGACATACACTAATTTTAATAAAAGTAAATAGTACATAGTTTAAATAATTAATTTAGCCGAGGTAATTACTTATAAGTTGGATTTCGATAGTGATCTAACTACATAGTAAATTATCGAATAAAAAAGAAATTTTGTCTTCAATAAAAGACATTTAAACAAATTTAAATTATATTTATTTTTACTAAGTTTATTAATATTATGACGTCACTTACGATATGAGAGTTTTATTTGGTGTCAACTGAGAATCATTTATATTTTTATAATCTTATGAATTTTATACAAATCTTGAACTTATTTCAAATATGGTTTAAATATAATCCGGACAATAATTGAGGAGAAGGTCAAATCACCCATTAATCCCAAATCATGAACATCCATAAAATTATAGTTACAGAGTATATATGCTGCACGTATACTGTATTATATATATATATATATATATATATAAAATGTTTGGTTTTAATTGTCTCCACCTCCTTCACATTCACACTACGCATGTTTGTTTCCACGATCATCTCATTATCCTACCATTACCTTATTACAAAATAGGTTAAACAGCTTGGCTTATCCATAAATTCCATCCCAGACCATGTGAACAAAAAATTGTTCATCTCCTAATTTACTCACCCTTTTATTGGTTTTTAAAGTGGAGGAATAAAGAATTGAGTAACCACGAAATGATTTTTATAATTACATAATGAAATATATAATATATATACACACACATATATTTCAGATTAATGTAATATAAGTCTTAATATAATTTTAAGATTTATCTTGTAAAAACAAAAAAAGAATCTGCATTTTTTTTTAAAATCACATTTTATAACTGTAGATTAAATCTATATCAGATATTCCTAGAGAATTTCAAGTAAAACTGAGAAATTCCAGTTAAAGTAGCACGATCCATAAACATTTAAGAGCTTCAGGT